TATAAAATAATAATTGAACAGAAACATTCATCTATAAAATAATAATTTAACAGAAACATTCATCTATAAAAATAATAATTGAACATTATTTATCTGAGGAGCAGCTTTGAGTTTAACTCCATCACTGAACTCTCATCTTGAACAAGCATGAAGGCGACAGTGGAAAGAAAATCTCCCTCATGAGGAAGAAACCTTTAGCAGAACCAGGATCAGGACTAGAGGACCATCTGCTTCGACCGGCTGGGTTTGGTAGGAATAGATACACAATGGCAGGTCAAGAATCACATGTTAAAAATTTATGTTACACAAATATTTCCACTGCATTAAAAAGTAGAAAATGATTTAACGTGAGGGTTATGAGGGGCCTGAACCCCAAAAGTTTGAGAACCGCTGCTTTAAATATTGTTAACTGACTTTTTATGAATGAATGTTTCTGTTCAGTTCTGAGACGATTCTGTTGAGACTTGGAGCTGAAGAAATAAACTGAACTGGATTCAATGTAAAGTGCTGTGTGATGTCATCATTGTCTGTGACGAAATTAATTCTCTGCATTGAACCCATCACACCTGAGATACACCCAGGTGGAGCAGTGGGCAGCTGTTGAGCGCCCGGGGAGCAGTTAGGGATTAGGAGTCTTGCTCAGAGGCACTACAACATGTGGGCATGGCAAGGAGTTGAGCCTGCGACTTTCTGGTCTCAGGTTGGCCGCCCTGCCTCTACACCATCCCCTTACAGGTCACAGGTGTTGTTTATAGATGTTACAGCTGTTTGTTCCAGATGCTGCAGGTGGTGGTTCCAGATGTTCCAGATGTTAAACTAAATTAAACCTGTTTATAAATTCTCTCCAGTAATGAAGATTAAAGTCAATCTGATTTTTAATCAGTTGGTCAAACATAAAATAAAATATAAATTGTAATAATAAAACCTCATCTGCTTCACCAGGTTCTGCTCCAAACCTGAAGGAGCTGCAGCCGGAGGAGGAGAGAACTACGAAGGAGATGATGAGACCTCCATGACGGAGTCAGCCACCTCCTTCAGGAGGCGAGGTGGGAGGAGCCTTCAGTTCCAGCAGGTAAGCCGTTCCGCAGCGCTCTGCAGCTGGACATCACGTGACCCTGAAGGAGGCGTGTTTTTGTGTCTCAGCTGAAGGAGGAGAATGCATCCCTGAGGAGAACCATCAAGGAGGTGCAGAGGAGAGCTGAGGTCAACCAGCGCAGGTCAGTACCGACCAATCAGATCGCAGCACTGCCGTGTGACACAGCTCGTTTACCCAGCATGCCCCTGCCTCCTCCTCCCTCTGCAGGGTGTCAGAGCTGTCAGAGGAGCTGTTGCAGAGGAGGCGACAGGAGGAGAAGGAGGCGCAGGACCTGGAGAGCATGGTTCACTCTGTGGAGCAGAACCTGCAGCTGATGACGGTGAGCCGTGCAGCCGACGTCTGATCGGTGATCTATCAACCGGCTCATTGTGTGTGTGTGTGTGTGTGTGTGTGTGTGTGTGTGTGTGTGTGTGTGTGTGTGT